GTTAAGAGCACAACTACGTGGTCAAACACCACGGGATTTGCTCCGCTTATAAAATTGGTGAATTTGAAGTATTTTTTAACTGACTGCATGACACAAAGGCTGTTTCAAAATCAGTCCAGCCCTTTTGGCTTCCAAAATGGCTTTTTTTTCTTCTGTCGCACGGGGTGGTGGTGGTCTTTTTCAAGCTGGAATTACTCAAATGGGCTTTCTCCTGTGCATTTAGTTGTGATACAGTCTTGTAAAGATGGGGGGGGCATGTCTGGTGGAGATGTTCTGATGATTTAGGCAGCTGATACATGATGTTCAGGCCCGGGAGGACATGGCAAAGCACTTTGATTTTAATGTGGGGGGATCAGGGGCCAGTCCTGAATCCTGTCAAATACTTTAAGCTTCAGATTGTGTGAAAAGGCACATTTGTTGTGAAGTAAAAACTTTGTGCTGTTAATATTTCATTGACAGGTCTCAAAGTGGTCCGGCCTTTGCTGATTCTTTTATGGTTGCTGTGAAATCCTACCAGGGTAACTATAAGTCAGTTCCAACCTGATAGCACATAACAACAACTGTATCACCTCATACACCTTCTTGGCTTTTAAAAGCTTCTGGGGAGGCTATTCTCTCGGTTCCACCACTTCCCCAAGCTTGTTTGGTGAATACACAAGGCAGGGCCTTCTCGGTGGTGGCTCCCAAATTTTGGAATGTGCTGTCCCAAGAAGCCAGGTTGGCCCCTCCCTCTTGTTCTTCTGTAATCAGGCAAATATTTTTCTTTTCAGGCAGACGTTTAAGCAACAAGTGGAGGTCTAGGAAATACTGTATTTATGGCACGTTGATATTTTTAGATGTTTTAAAAATGTTTTTAAAATGTATTTTTAATCTTAGTTTTTAATAGATTAATGTTTGATTGATATTTAAAATAATTTTATATACTATATTAAGCCTGCTGCACTGTTTAGTTTTAATGGTTGTGAGTTGCCTTGGATCCCTTATGGGGTGAAAGGTGGCATATAAATAATATTAACAAGGGAAAGGTTATAGGACAGCAGAAAAATCAGCATATTTTTGGAGAGGAATGGGGCAAAAAGGGGTACAAACGGATGTTATCGGTCCCAAGGGTGAAGGTTGCACCATTGGGAAAATGTTTCTTGTGTGTTGTGTGTAGTCACTGCTGAGTTTGTATTTTAGTTTTGTGTCTGTTGTTTGTAGTATTTCTATTGTTGTTCTCTATTTTATTATATTGCTTTTATGCTATTTTTATTGTTAGCCGCCCAGAGTAGACTTGGGTGTAAATGGTCAGCGTATAAATTTAATAAATAAATAAACAAACAAACAAACAAATATCTAGTTGTTTCCAAACTCTGCAAGAGTTTATGTCTGTTATATGGAAGTTCCCATACTGCATGAAAATTAATGCATCTTGATAACAGCTGGCTAACTCACTAAGGCTGAAGGATTCATACTCTGTTTCCCCGAAAGTAAGACCTAACCTGAAAACAAGCCCTAGTATAATTTTTCAGGATGCTCGTAATATAAGCCCTACCCCCCAAAATAAGCCCTAGTTAAGCGAAACCCCGCCCTCCGCCCTTGTGCAGCAACCAGAAGAAGATGACATAACTGTATTTGATTAAATGTAGATTGTTGTACATGAAAAAAAAATCCCCTGAAAATAAGCCCTAAGCCCTAATGTGTTTTTTGGAGCAAAAATTCATATAAGACCCTATTTTATTTTCAGGGAAACAAGGTAACCAACCTACCCTTTGCATTCTGATAGACCAAAACCCATAATATATCGCTGAGCCATTAATTACTGACCTCTATAAGAAGCTTCAATTGATACAGTACAAAATGGAGCTACTCAATCATCTCTCTCAGAACAGGGAAGTTTTCACTTGATGGATCCTGGACATTGAGTGAGGTTAGTAGAAGTTGGCCCTGTAAGGGAGATAGTGTTACTGCAGCAATGCAAAACTTCCGGCTGTCTGCTTAAGCAGTTCTGATTCCAGCCACACTGGCAGCTGGCCTAGCCTGTTCAATATTAATTGACGTATTGTCATTTTTTTTTGAGGGTGTACAGTATAGTCTTTTTTGATCTTCTGCATTGAAGTTGCTTTACAAGATTCTTCACTTCCAATCTACTAATATCTGATTGTCCTCCAAAGAAGTACTTTGTTGTCTGTTCTGCTTTTACTTAATGTGAACAGTGAACTCATGTTCTTTGAGTGCTGGTGAAGCCTCTGGTATTTAGGAGATCTATAGTATCTGTGGTTGTCAAAGGTGCAGCATGATACAGTACAACAAAATGATACATGCTGATGCCTTCACATGCTGGGGAATCTACCTGACTCCAGTTATGTGGGGAAAATGTTATGCATGGTTCTTTTGAGGGGAGGCTCCTCATGGATGGCTGACCTTCCCTCTCACAGTAGAGGGGCTACTACAACCTGGGCATTGAGAGAGTTTTTAATCCCTAACCATGCTGTGTTCAAACTGCCAGGTGGAATGCCACCTATTCTCTTCAGAGAGAGAGAAATGGTTACATGCAGTATGCCACAAACTCCTTCTCTGAAAAAAATCAGCATATTATCAGTTTGAAAAGATAAATCTACTCTTAGAATAATAAGTTTTTAAGTTCAGGATGCAATTTTTTTCTTTGCTTGTGATTCTCGTGAAGCTCATGTCACGACATTCATGAAAACTGTGTAGAAATAGTGTAGCAAATTTCCAATTCAAAAAACACACTTTTTGTTTTTCCCAGAAACTTTCTCTTAGACACACTGACATATGTTTGCATTGTATTTGTGGCAGACGCTCTATGTAGACAGAATCATTCTGGTTTTATATATCTGCTGATACTGACATTTCAAGCAGATGAGTGTCTCCTGTTACATACTTTTATTATTGTACACTGACTGTCATGAGATTAATTTTATTTTTAAAGAAGATTAATGTTAAGCTAAAAAATGCCTATGAGTCAGATGGCAGTTCTCTTGAGGACAGTTTCTGGCCCTGAGAGCACACAGCATTTTTGATTTTTTTAAAATATGGCTTTCATTTTTAAAAGCTGGATGAATGAGGTATGCACCAATCATCCAGATACTGAAATAAAATAGAATTAGAAGCATATGGAGTCTTTGAGATGGATTTATCACAATGCATCTATGTATGGAAATATTGGCAGAGTAACTTGCACCATCAGGTCTTAGGCAAATCTGACCTACTGAAGTGTGTGTTAAAGAAGTATACATATTGTGGAAAAGTTAGAACTGTGTGTTCTCGTGCATATATTTTCATCACAAATTTATTCCCTTGGTGTTGCATGTACTCTGAAACCTTTTGGTTCCTGACTTCTGAAGAGGGAGGAGGAGTGCTAGGAGGCTTTAATAATCAGCATCTGTTGTGTAATTTGTAAGGAGCTGTCTTGGGCTCTGTACATCCTTACATCTAGCACATTACATGGATTTTCACCCTTCACTGACAGTGGGATTCCCAAGATGTCAGGAAGAACCTTCTCCTAGTGCCAGAAATTCTTAATTGGAAATACTGGGAGTTGAACTGGAGACTTTCTGCATTTAAAGTACATCCTCTGTCTTGGAGCGTGATGTACTTGAAGTAAAACACATGAGACCAGTAAAATATGTATTTTGCTACAGTTTCGGAAATGTTCAGATGCGTTCATACACTGAAAGTCTGCAGAAATTTGAATGCTAAACCTTGTGATGAGCAAGAATTATTGTAAAGCTGCTTAACTCCTTGGCATCCAAGATATTTTTGCAAATTAAATTTATGCATACCTTAGCATCAGTTTGGTTTCATGAAGGGTCTTACAATATTAGCTTCCATAATGGAAGAATGGTTCCCCTCATATGGCAGATCTGAAATATGAGGTCTGTAAAAGGGTTTCTGCTTGAATTTGTAATTGCTTAGAACCAAGATAGCGGCTACTTTGTTGGATTGACTTTTAAAAAGAAAAAGCATTGTTTTTAGGCAGGACTCAACTGGCTTTGAGTGAGTGATTTGTTTCACAAAGAAAAAGAAAAAAACCAGAACAAAAATGCAGTTATATTTTGTGCAAATTGTGGAATGCACAGTTGGGGAGAAGCCCCATTTTCTTATTTTCACACTGGAAGCAAGAACTGTTGCAAGAACTAATAATTAGAATAAGACATTTTTCAGGTATTCTCTTATGTGCTTTATTCAGACGTTACTTGCTTATGTCCCCCTTTCCTTCTTTAACTCAGCACTTGAGTGCTAGAGTGCTTTCCCACAGCTTAAGTATACCGTATAATGAAAGAGCAAGGAAGGAGGAGGAGTCTTTTCAGTGGATGCTAGTTTGGTGAATTACAAGCTTCCTTCTGCTAAAATTAATTTATTCTGCTGCTCTGTACAGGGTAACTTTGCTTCAAAAATAACTGTGCTATTTGGGTTTTTTTTAAATGCCTCATAAACTGCCCTGGGTCCCTTTGGTGGGCGAAAAGTGGAATATAAAATAAGTAACTAAATATAGTAAATGAAGACAGTAGCTGAAATCCTGTTTGTGCAAGTTCTGTGGTGAGATGCTGATGGTGTCATCAGCTGGGGCTGTTAATTAGGAAAGTAAACATTGCTTCTCATCCCTGCCCCACCAAGGCTCCTGAGTACTGTAATCCCTTTCATCAGTGGGAAATAGTGGGGGCTGCAGGACAACTATAAAGCTAATTGTTCTGTTCTTTTCCCAAATAGCCTTAGAGTAGAGCTCCCACCTTGTTTACTATCTTAGTGACTACATATGCATGAGTAGACTATCATTTGCTCCCTCTGTTATTTGAAGTGGCAAAGACTTGTCAGCAGCAGACTTAGCCAGAGATTAGTACCTATTCTGAAATCTCCTTTTGCTTTGCAAGCCTTAATGAGGGAAGTGATCATCTGTTTTGTTATTCAAATCTGGTATAATGCTTCCTGTCATGTTTGCTTTTGTTTTAGATTGCACCTGCAATAACAAGTTAATAATCTCTTGTTTCTTCTCCTAGGTGCCTACTGATGGAAATGCGGGCCTCTTGGCAGAACCCCAAGTGGCCATGTTTTGTGGCAAGCTGAATATGCATATGAATGTTCAGAACGGGAAATGGGAATCTGATCCTTCTGGAACCAAGAGCTGCATTGGGACAAAAGAAGGCATTTTACAGTATTGCCAACAAGTAAGTTTTAGTTAAAAATTCATTATTTATTCTGCCTACGACGTAGATATTCTTTTAGCTATGAAGTAGAATTGTGTATAATCTTTACTTTTCCTTGATTGGCTTGTTTGTTCCCTTCCATTTTGTGATAATTCCTTTAGTTTGTGACCATTGAATTCTGCCTGAAGTTTATGAGGTTTGTTGGAGCTAAGGGATGACATAGCTTTTCTGAAGGAGTGCCGCTCTTTAATCTCTTCTTGCTGAGAAATGAAAATAGGAGAGTCCTCATGTCAAAATAGAACACTGAGCATTGAGAACCTGCTTGCTACTTTCTCCTGTGCAAAAATAGTGCTGATTTTCTGCAAGATATTTACCTTGGAGAATGGGCCAAGAAAAAATGGCTTTAGGTCTACGTATTTATCTCCCCAGAATCAAGGATGGTGATTTATTGGCCATAGCACTGGAACAAGAAATACAGTACTGTAGATTTAACTGGCTTTGCAGTTAAGGAGACAAAATGGCTCATGTAGTTTGTAACATTTTACATATGGACAGACCATTCCTGCAACACACAACTAGCTTCCTTTTGCCCCAGGCCACCATGGCTTGTAACATGCATATGTGCTCAGTACCTGTGGGAAAAGGGTTGCACAAACTATGAGCTTTTGAACCATACAGAGGTTAATATTGCAGTTCATAGCAATAATGGTATATTTAGCTGATGAAGTGGCCAAATGGAAA